GTTTTTGAAATTCTTGGAGAATTTTTGCATCTTCCATCAAATATCAAACTGTCTCATTCAATGTACTCTAAAACAATTCATGAAATTATATAAAAAATTCTGAATCTATTGCGATGTCAAATTTCACGTTCAATACGACAGGCGCAGCGGCAATCGAGTGCCCCGCTGGCTACGAGGTCATTGGATCCAAGTGCATCCACCGCCTGCCTGGTGGTTACCTCACGCACGACGACGCGGTGGCTTACTGCCACCAGAACTTCGGCAGGCTGCCCGTGCTGCACGACTGCGCTTCCTTCATTGGTGTTGCAACTTATGTCGACGATGGATGTGAGTTGTTTAGCTTGATGAAGAATTCAGCTCGATAACCAAGTTGATATTCCATTCCATTGAACCAAGTTATTTACCTGGCATAGAAGAAACTGCAATCAAAATCTAATTCATCAATTGGACTTTAAGTATGCATTTTTTAGCTACATGCCCGGAGCATCACTAGACGCTCAGGTATTCAGACAATCAGACCGGTGTAACAGTGGCCACCGACAGTGTAATGGGGTTACACAAAAAGTATGAATAATAATGATTCACTACAATTTTCTGTGAATGCCTTCCATATTACTCAATCTGGGCTCGAGTCTGAAATCTAAGGCATCTCCTGTTTACCCATGTGTTCCGTTAGTCTCAGCGGACGCCATCAACGGCTACTGGCTGGGCGCCACCAACTCTTCGGCTACCGGCGTCTGGCAGTGGAACGACGGCACCGCCGTGCAGATGGGCGCTCCGTACTGGGCTGTCGTGAGTGACTTGATGTGTGTTATGAATGCAATGAAATCTGGTTCGCGTGACGCAAACTAATACATGAAATAAGGACCAGACATCAGGAAGCATCTAACTTTGAAATCTTAAGGTGCTTGAACACGGGACAGAGCAGGCGGCAAGTAGATCTGACAAATGTCTGCCGCTTGGTGACTATCCGGCAAGTAGGCTTATACACGAGGCAAGTTTATAGTGCCTGTATCTTCTCGTTCGTGCCCGCTTGTGCGTCGTTAGAAGTCGTCGAGTGAGGTCTGTGAAAATAGAAAGTGTGGTCATCTTCAACGACTCGTGTCTATGTTGCTTTTACACTCTTTATTCAAGCACCTAAAAATGCTGCGTCGGGAACAACTAAACCCTGACTAATAAGGTCGTCTTTCAGTTTCCAAATACTCGTTTCTCCATTTTGTTGGAGTAACCAGCATGGCGAACATTCCACATTTGTTCAAATTTTCGGTTATAAGCATGAACAATTGAATATCGTCTGGCCTTCACATTATTGAGTTCTTCTTAGAACCATTCTTGTTCAAACAAGCCATGATTCACTTGACCCGAGATGCTGCACAAGAGCGTCACAAATGCTCTCGCCAAGGCTAAATCAGCCCAACTGGCCTCCTCTCAGGCTCTCAGCGAAGAAAAACAAACATGGTTGCTCCTCCCAGCCGCGTCTCTGCACATGCCACTGAAGCAGCTGAACCCATACACACGATGCTAGTAGCGTGGACAGATCAAGCGGCGGATGAACTGGCGGCCAGTACTGTCCCCGTATACAGGCACCTTTACCGACGAACATGACAAAAAGGCTGTAAAATTAAAAAATTTACCTGTAACTTCATTTTTTCCATTTTCATGTTTTCACGATATTCTTCCCGAAAGCTGCTAAACATATCAGTCCATTATGGTATTTATGTTGCGGAATCAAGAACAGATTTGTCTTCAGAAATACATTCAAATAACTACGCTGACTTTAGTTGGCATCAAATTTGCTACAAAGTTCTTATAAATTCAGTAAATATGTACCTGCAGTATTTGACCGCGTGTGGGTCAACAGGAGGAGATTTGATAATTCTAGATGACTGCGAACAGTACAGCAGGGTTATCAAATACCTCATGGAGCAAGGTAACCACTAACAAAATCTGATTTCAGGGAACCTTAACGTATCTTGCTTATAAATTTGAATGATGTCCAGTTGAAACCTATAATTCTGACAGACCAATGCGTATTCATATGAGCTACCGTTGAAAGTATCCCGCCACTACTCGAACCTACATATGAGGCTGTGTTGCATTTCCGCCATTTACTTACATACGACTCTTAAATATTAATAAAATATGAATTCAGATCAAAAAAGTCCAAGTTCGCTACGCAAACATCCAAGTTTTACTAATGTTTAAATATAACTCAAACTAAAGGCTGCCTCAGAGCAAATTTTATCCTTAATCATCATTTTGAAATTATTTTCCATACCTTTGTATAGCTAATTAATATCCCGACGCGATACGTATCCTAAATACGCATCCCAACCGCTTCTTATATCCACTATCCCGACGCGATAGGTATATAGATAGGCGTCCCCACAGCCCCTATATATATTGCTACGCCAGACTTCAAACAAACTAACGCTGATAATTAATATTTGCATATGTAAAAAATTATGAAATGCGAGTTCTATGCTCTCTATATAAGATTACTTATGTCAATTTTAGAAGGTCTTTCTTGGATCAATTATAATACATATAATATACATAATATAATACATATTATTATAACTGAGGGGATTCAGAATAAAAATTCAAAAATTGCAAGGCTTAATGATCCAATGCATCGCCGAAAAAATTTGCTTGTTGTTTTTATGTGATGTTTCAATTAAATTTTAGTTTGTTATGTTTTTACGTCTCTTCACATGACAAGGCTACAGCCCTTTTGGATATTGGATCGGTGGCTCGGATAAAGTCGTAGAGGGACAATGGCGCTGGATTGACGGTTCTCCAATGGCAATGGGGCTACCATACTGGGGAACTGTGAGTTACAGTAATCGTAGGAATTGTAATAAGTTAAGAAGCTTCAACTGTGAACATGTGTTAGGGATATGAAAGAGTTTTAATATTAGAAAATTCTAATTACTGTGCAAGTAGAAATTCGGAGTATAAACAACAGAATCGAAACGAGCAAATTAATGCATCAACGACATTCATTGATGGGACAATGTGAGCATCCTTACCTCACATTTGGGGTTAGCGATACCGCAAATAAACCTTGAACAATTGTCTATTGGACTAAGGCTAGGGATACCGCGCATCAAAATTGTCAATTGGACTCAGGTTATATAGGGATACTGTGCATGACATTTTTCAATTGGTCAGGGAGACCGCGCATAAATCTTGCTATTGGTCTCAGGTAATGGAGATACCGCGTATATATATAGAACTTGTCAATTGGACTCAAGTTAGGGATATCCCTCATAAAAGTTATCGATTGGACTCAGGTTAGGGATGCCGCGCATAAATTTTGTCAATTGAACTCGTGTCTTGGAAAAGACGATAATTGAACGTCAAATTAACAACCATGATTTAATTAGTCTTTTATCACATAGTTGTGGAGAATGTGAAGTCTCTGCAGGACCTCTTAATCATGAGATCATTTCAGGATTTCCAATTAATATAGAAAATACTTTGAAAAGAACTACCACCATCAGGTTTCCAGAAAAATTCACATTTTCTCTATTCAACGGGTTCTGTTAAATCCATCATTTTTATAAATATCATCGCATAAAATTAACATGAAACGGAGTTTCTCCACTAACTCAGAGTAATCATATCATAGTTTGTTGTTAATTAAATTGAAATGTTATGTATACCATATATATACAGGGTATGATAAAAAAATTTTCCTCTATTAACACGTAACAACTTCCTAAACTCCCAATAGTCTAAGCAAACGTAATCGAAATTTGATGCTAAAAAATTAAAAGATGCTTGTAACACGTAATATGAGGCGTAAGTTTAATGATGAACTTGTTCAGCAGATCATAGTTCTTTGCGTGTCTAAGGCTGTTTATACGGACCCCACCAAATCTGTTGGAAATTAATTGTCAAGATCTGCGAGGCGCAGCTCCTCTAGATCTGTGAGGCACGGCCCCTCTAGATCTGCGAGGCGCAGCTCCTCTAGATCTGCGAGGCACTACCACTCTAGAGCTGCGCTACGTAACCTATAAGCTTGCGAGGATTTTCGTCGTGTAAAGCTCATAATTAGGGCTCAGCGTTTATTAAACGTCAAAAATAACGAGACTAGGGCAAAAATTGTTCCATAAGAAAGCTATTACCATGACTAGTATTTTGTGGGGGAATTTGAATATTTTTTCTTAGCAGCTCTGAGGCTCTTGGGACAGATAACGATTTATACCATTAATATATTACGTTACGGAACAAAAAAGTAATAGCAAACATGCAGATGAAGGATCCAGGAAATAAACCCATTATAATTATTAATGGGCAGATGGGCAGGCTAGCTTGGCGGTCAATTGGCTGCCGATTCAACTTGGTCGTTACGGGAGGATTTAATAAGAAATTTAAACTTGATTTGCAACAAAAAATAGATTTTCCATTTTTAAAACGAGAGTAAAACGAGAATATTATCATCTTGTAAATGTGCGATTGAAGAGTTTTTATCTAGTACGCAAACATGAGCATTATTATTAATGAGATTACTTCATTATTATGGAGTACGGGAGAGACGGTGTTCGGGATTACAGGATTCCAAAGTTACAGAATTCACTGTGCCCGGGAACCGGCTAGAGTTTTTAGTACTAAATGTCTGGAAATATATCAAAAAGAAATATCGGTAAATTTATTATATGCATTCATTATTTCCTATGAAACACCTCCAAGAAATTATCGCTGCCTATACTCGGCCGCCATTATTTGTTCTCTTCCATAAATTTTGCTTCTGATATGCTCGTTGATTTAAAAAAATCATGCCTAAAAATTACGTCCTTGACGAAAAATGTAATTTTAAAATCAAATCTTCAGCGTTTTAGCGTCTGGTTTTCAAAGATTATTTCGTCCATACTTTGCGTTATGCCGAACGTTTCGTACGTTATTTTCCGGGACGATATTGTTAGATAATTTTGCTTAACAAGAGAAGTTGTGAAATGTTTAATACATATTAATTCGTCATTATTTTTATCACGACTTTCAGTGACATAAAGCCAAACTAAATAAACTTAACGTCCTTGCATTGACTCGGCATTAGACTAAAGCCCAATGATCGTTTCATTGGAGTAAATATGAATCGACGCTGAGCTTTTTGTGATGTATGATGAGCGATCTCATTGCTGCACTCTGTCGGATGTGATAATATAGTTGGTATTTGGATTACTTTGTGAATTGTTATCGAGTACACGATGTTCTATAATTAACGGCGTAATGTTAGAATGTTTTTTTTTATATTATGGATTCAGTTCTGGTATCAAATCTAATGAAATGTTGCGTTAAATCTCGCGTCGGAGGATAGTAATGCTGAATGTAGTGCTTTGTGTAGCTCGTAGAAACGAGTGGCAGAGTGAAGTGTTAACCACTTATGGATACTCAGACATATATTCTTAGTACATGTGGTGCGAAAACAAGCACTCAGAGCAATAAATACCTCAACAACTCTAATTAAGTTAGTGTACTGGAAACAGGCTACTTAAATAACTCATTTATTTTGCAGCGATGAAGCTTGTTTTTTTCGGCGACATTGTATTTAGTAATCTCATATTCGTACACATTTGCATTTTGAACTTAATTAGACCTACATCTTAGTTAGACCTAAACCTTAATTAGACTTTAACCTTAATTAGACCTGAATCTTAATTAGACCTAAACCTTAATTAGACCTAAACCTTAATTAGACCTAAACCTTAATTAGACCTAAATAGAGATCCTGTACGCTGCAGAGTTCAGGAAGTGCTCCGATGGCTGGGAGATTGCGCTGCCGGCCTACGATTTTTGAGTTCAATAGTTAAAAAAAGACATAACTGGAATCAAATACTAACGATAATTAAGCTAAGAATATTAAATTGAACAAGATTTTCCGAGCACAGGAGTGGCGTATAGGTATCAGCCTTCAACAAGATAAGATCCTTAGAGAGAAAGAAGTAATCCAAATGAGGTTCTATACTAACGTAAAATTTGTATACTTACTTCTATGCAAATCGCATTGCAGCAGAGAATAAAAAACAAATTACAGTAGAGCATAGTAGAACATATCTGGGCCTACACTTTCGAAAAAAGTTACGAGATCGTAAGTTCATCAGCCAATCATTGACGGCCTGTCAAGCAAAATCCACCAATCATAGACAAGAAAATAGAGCGTAAGTACTTACGTTCACTTAACCAGTTTTGAAAGTATGGCCCCTGAACAATACCTCTACAGACACTGACGTTCCTACCTAAAACAATGTGTAGGAGAAAAAAAAGCCCAAAGGAAAGTAGCATAACAACGCACGCTGGTACGGGGCTATCAAGTATCCTATATACTGGCTAACTTTATCCGACACAATAGTTCATATCTTTTTTTCTTCGCTCTTTAAGAAATCCAGAATATTCAAACAAATATCCCAATTAGATGCTAAGTTCATATTATTACACCTTGCATGCAGATATCAAAATTACGTAATTGCGTTTTATTGCTCAGTGCCACTTTCTGTATTCTCTCACAATTAATTACTACTATTAAGCTAAATTTGTTGCCAAGATTAGCCCAACAAAGTCTTGCAACGTAATTCGAACTTAGCTCCACTAATTTGGCAGGAAAATAATTTAGCGTCAAAGAACTGACATAATAACACGGACCACTCACGGTTCTGTTGTCTTTTACTGCGCTTTAGAGAAGAATCCTTCTTTACTTGAAATTATAATTATGGAACTCCCTTACTTGGGCCGTGTGGAAAAAAATATTTCAAATCCTAAAGCAAGAAGGTAATCTGAAATTTAAATTGCCTCCCGCATATTTTTGCCGGACTTCCTTAGCATTGATTGTGTTAAATTAATCACAGCATTTGTACCAAATTTTTTGCAGTAAAAACAACAATCAGAGGCAATATGTCGGTTTCGAGTTCACGTGCTCCACCTCTCAGCGATATCACCTCTCAGCTATCGCATGCAGCAGTGCGTCAGCCACAAATTGTGGTCAATATTGGCTCCTTTTGTAGAAACTTTATAGAATGGGAAAATGCTTGTTCTGTCACTAGCATGTGGCATACACATAAATCAATTTATTTACGGTTTCAAAAGACTACAAAACGTTCCATATAAAAAATTTTTGATCAGGCTCGCGCTCCCTGTCCTCCCCTAGCGACCGCCTCTACGGAACGCGCATTTGTTTTGTACACTTGGACAGAAAGATAATTTCCTGACAAGCCCGGCGGGCTGGCTGAACTCACACGCAGGTCGCGCTGCTTGTTGGGTTAAAATAATGATACTCCTGAATATCATCTGCCTGCTGTCGCTGGCTGCAAGTGAGTATCATCTCATTATCATCCTCACTCTCCATCTCCAAGGAAATGAGAAGTGTTTTCCTCAAAAAGATGGGCATACGATCAGTTAAGAGCAAAGTTTTGAATAGGAACTCGCGTTAAATTTCATTTTTAAACACGCGCGATCGTTAAACTTTAATGAACGAGAGGTTTTGTATTTCTCATTTTTATTATCAGATCAGTAAATATTTTTTATGCTGTTAAATTTGATTGTACTTGTAAGATCCAATCATGATTAAGATGGCGACCGAAAGTTGAATATTTTTTGTAGCTCAAAATGTATAAATTTTTTTATTTACGAGACAATGTTAATCGTGTCCTTATTTTTTGTGGAAATGGTTGATGGATTAATCCTGAAGTATAAAACTGCATTCATTAGAACAGTTTTAAAAAACTGGATATAAGTGATTTTTCAGCTCCTCAATGTTTTTTTTAATAATTGTAAGTCGTCTATATTTCTGTATTAGTTTCTGCATTCTCTTCATGATTGGTAGCTTACTAATGTTACTGGGTCCCACAATAAATTATTTTAGTAAAACCTCCAACTAATTTGTTTGATATTCATTTGAGTATTCATCAAGTTCTTACGTAAGGCTACGTCATCTTTGAAAGATTTTCGGGATCGGATTCGATCTTGACTCGATTACAATATGAATAATTAGTTATTCTGTCGAATGCAACTGACCCACGCGTTTTCATACAATTATAAGACAACAGAAATTCACATTGAAATAAATCCAGTAAAATGTAACAAAAAATTTCCTTAATTCTCCCTTTTTGAGGAGGTTTCTTACATAAGAAATTCTCTTGCTGTGTGAGCGACGATTGAGCGAGGTGTAATCAGTAATATATAATGAGTTTGTAATTTGTATTAATATTTAATAAAGTGTAATGAGTAATGTGTTGCGGAATATTTTTATTATTAATGATAATTAATATAGTAACTAATAATGAATTATTATTGGCAACGCTACCAACTTGGCCGTCACTTTAAAGGGCAGTCGTGGCGATGTATATCTGGCAGTATTTTTGGAGTAAGCATCATTTTAAATTGAGCCGCCACAGAGTAGCGGCTGCCGTTTGTCGCATGTGCACCTTATGATGAGTTCGGGACTTTCTAGTCCCCGGTCACGCTGATGCGCCGCCTTCGTGTAATTAAAAGCCACAGACGCCATTACGGAACCATCTGATAGAGTCTACATCTGTTTACGTGATTTTAAAATGCCTCATCCTATTGCAAAAAAATCACACCGGTTGGGAAGTGCGTGCGTTTCTTTGTGCTAAAGGCTTAAAATCAGTTGCCATTCATCGCCAAATCAGTGAAGTGTATAGTGTAAACACTCTGAGGGGTGGAATGGTGCGGGAATGAGTTAGGTCCTTCAAAGATGGCTGCATGAACATTTATGATGAGGAACGAAGATGTAAGAAGATGCAATGTTCTTGTAAATATTAGATTAGTATTTGGCATTTAGGTTTTTAAGTCAACTCTGACGTAACCTCGCTCGGAATCTGCTATACGTTGTCATTCATATGCGCGATTCCCCCATAGAGGTACGTGGGTAAATTGGTCCTGTTTATTTCTTGGTAGTTATCATTGCCGTGTTGTTTAATTGATGTTTTTATTGATTTTTTAGTAAATATTTTCCTTTATATTATTCCTATCTGCTTTATTTATCTTATCGTTCTTATGTCATCCGTGCCATATTTTTGCATTAATTATTTTACTTACTTCACTGGTTTTAAATTTGCGTTTTCGCTTTGTATGTGCAGGAAGGCTCCGAAATATAAGGTCTTGAATAGATCATTATTGGGAATAGATAGTAGGCTTAAAGCAAGCGCATGGTCTCTATCTTGTAGTTAATGATAGATTGTTTTAATTATTATTTATGTTTATTTATTCGGTTATATTCATCATTCTTTTATTGGCGATACTTTTACCACACGATCATATATAAATTATCTGGGGCCACTGCCCTGTCAAAATTTAGCCGCGGCAGACGGTCTGGTTTCGGTTGTCAGTCTCGGATTAGAGATGATTCAGATGTGAAATGGCCGCATCTCATAATTAGCCGCCCAGTAGGAGCTATTTTGGGTAGTTTCATGGGAAAAAATCTGTCTCTTATACACATCTCTATTCTATTCTATTCTATTCTATTCTATTCTATTCTATTCTATTCTATTCTATTCTATTCTATTCTATTCTAT